CATGAGAGACGTAAATAAAGTTCATTTTATTCTTGTGTGTAACTGACTCTGAACCCCTTAAACTGCTGGCTAACTAAACTTAGACAGCTGGAAAATGCATTTATCCTGCAGAATGGTTCATTGCTAATTTTGGGCTGTGGCATGCCTTATAAGCATAGCCTGACCTGCAGGCAATCGGAGCTTCTGCATGTGACTGCATAAAGGAAGAAATGGACTTGCTCTTGCTTTCCTTTCTGCATGCCAACTGTGGAGTCCTTTGTACCCATGAACTGGTCTGTCCTACTGTGCACCTTCTGTTAGACCTGCAAAATCCTCCTGCCATTCTGCACAGCTGTGACTAGTCCTTGATCACACAGCACTGAAAATGCATTCTCCCCACATGTAACCTCTCATTTGTAAAGTTTAAGAAAAATCTATTTTGATGTATTAATGTAGAAATAACACCTATTTATACTGTATCAGTGGAGCTGCAGGCTAGTTGTGTTTTCCTAATTTGCTGTGCTTGAAGTGACATGCCAGATTTTATTATATTGCTAATGGCTTTTAGTTATTCCCTTTAGGATGATGCCAACAAGGAAAGCATTATTCTGACTCGTGACTCATGAATTTATTTTGAAGCGATGTGACTCGTGATGAATGTCTGTATTATGTCAGGTAGAGTTTCTCCTAACAACCAGTCAGTGCTCTCAGGTGGTATAAGGCATCCCATAATGACTAGCTCCAGAACTCCAGGTGGGAAGCTCTCCACTTACACAGAATAGAACAAATGCTGCCCCTGCCCTGAGACCATAATGGTGTGGGTTTTCTATCCAAACATAAAGTTATTATAAGTAAAATGAGCTGCAAACGGATCTGCTTTAGGATGATGGGCCATTGATATTACAAAGACACTGTGAAAATCCTTCCTGAATTGAACCTGTTCTGGCTTGGGCCAAAATCTGTGACTACATCTTTTCCCTGAATTTAGGAATTCATAAATGATCATGCTGAATGCAGTAAACACTTTATGTATTCATAGAACAGGTGCAAAATAGTCACCAGCAGAGTCAACACCTTCGGGATGAAATGGTTTTAAGTGTTACTTCTGAGATCAAGAACACACTGTTGGTCCCATCTTAGCCCTTCTGGCAACACTCAACAAAATACTGTCTATCTCTCCTATGGTGATAAAAGCACCTGTTCATTATGCAGAAAGCCATGGTAAATATGGGAAAGATTTTACTGAAGCCCAGGACTTCGAGGCTGGGTGCTCTGTTCGTTGTTACAGAACTCACCCAGTTCTCACAGATACAAAATGTATGTGATCTGCTGCCAAAATGTTCCTTATCCGCAGGAAAAAAACTACTGTGACTCCCAAGTGCATTAGTGAACTATCTGCTGTGAAATGCACAAAAGTAACATCTTTGGGCCAGCCCCTGTTCTTTGCTGTATCTGTGTCTGCTGAAGTCCTAGCATACCTTCACAGACAAAACTATATATAGAGATGCTATTCAACCACATGCTTACGTGATTGATCAACAGATTCTAATAGTTGTTTTGGTTTTGACTTTTGTTTAATCTAGTAACTGTTGCATCTGCTGTGAAAAACAGGAAACAAAGAAAGATGGATCTAAGTAAATGTTCTAGTAATTCTTCCAAGCTGTATCTATAGTAACTAGAGAAAAGATTCTTAAAGAACCAGAACTGACATTTGCTGTGAGGCACCAAGTTTACAGAAATTATCAGTGTCTTTTCACCTCTAGGAACATACATAATTTTGTTACCGTGGAAGCAAAATGACTTGCTGATGAAGGAGATGCGTACATTAGTTTCATTGCATAAACATTTTATTTTTTCCCATGGAGCTCAGGATGTGAATGAGTTTTCTTCCACATGCCAAGGATTGGAATGTCATATTTGAATTTTATAGCTGCAAGTATATCGTATGAATTATTATCCCAAATGCGTTTTAACAGAAAATTTAGTAGATTATTAAAGTGAGCTGTAGTAATAAAATTGTGAGATAAGATCACTCTTATTGTATCAGATATCTGAGCACAGTTCTAGCATATTAATATTCCTTGCCTAAATGTCCTCACGTTCTTGTTTAATTATCGAATTAGCAATAATTGGTGGTCCTCGCTCCTAGAGTTAATACAATGCCTGGAAGTGTATTGCATGCAAGCAGACTACCTCAAGTGAAAGAAAACCTAAGTATTACTTTCCAGATTGTGAGCATTTCTTATACATATTTGCATAGTATTTCAGTAAGGTGTCAAAGAAAGGAATGCAGAACTTTTTTTTTTTTTTTGACAACTGAGCGTGAAGTCACGGAAAAAGAACAACTGGGTGTCCTAAAACAATTATTGTCTCTAGTTATAAATTTTGCTTCAACTTTTAGTTTTTTTTCCTTTGTTGCTTTACCTCATGTATGCACCTGCACTTACATGCATGAAATTTGTGAGCCCCATACTATTCACTACTCTGTATCTTTTGTCAGTGGGTTGCAGTGATGGGCTACATTTCAGTTCACTTCAATTTCATTTGCTTCAGTGATTTTACTTAAAATTTGTAGAGTTCCCTGTAGTTCTCTGCAGTTTCTCTAATATATTTTATTAACTGTTAGCTTCATATTAAATGACAAACTAGGATGTGATTAAGCAGGATTTTAGTCTAAGCAGTACATGTGAAGTATAATAAATGATTGATACTGCTTGTCTGTAGAATATACCAATGAGTTCATTCCAGTCTGTCCTGTGATTCAGATCTATCCTTCAGCTGGCCAAAGATCTATTCTTATTGTGGGTCTTCATCTGAACTGCTCTGTACACCAAACATTGCAGGTCTCTCCAGAAGGCACAAATACATATTTTATTGATGCTGTATCTGAGATTTTTCTCATTTGATGTGTACAGAAGTGAAACAGCTGTTTAGACAATAATATGTAATATCTTAAATACTAAAGATAATAACTTTTCAAGCTAAAGTTTTTAAGCTAAATTTGTATGAAAGGGTTTAAATTTGTGTTTGTTACTGCTACCAAGGGTAATATTCCTCTTTTTCAGAAAATACTATCATTCTAGAAAGTGAAGATGTGTATAATCAAGATGTTATGATTACAATATAATTGAATAATCAATAGATATCAAGGTGTTATGATTACAATATAATCAAGAGAATTAGGCAAAGTAAACAACGATCACAAAAGAGAATTAGTGGAAGAGCTTACCCTTCAGCTGAGCTCACCAGAAGACACCAAGAGGGGTGATCTCCAGAAGAGATCCTTCCCCTCTGGTAGCCAGCTCTTAAATAGGTCTAGGAGGGGTGGAGCCTGGCTCCACTGGCTTCCAGCAGCACAGGTGAATTGCCTTCAGCTGTGCTCCTCTGGCTGACTCATGGCTCACCTCAGGTGATCAATCAGAGGTTCAGGCCATGACTCAGCAGTTCCCATACAAGATGTAAAGTCAGAATCAAATGTGATGAACCGAATGACTTTAGCATCTCCTACTGCTTTGCTTAAGCTTGTTTGAAGCATTTGATATCAACATACTAACCAGGCCTTGTTAGTTTATGAAAAACAACAAGATCATAATGTCAACAATCATTAGATCGGCATTTTTATATAAATATCCATAAAAACAAGCAATCCAACTACGTAGCAAGGTGTCCCTCTTGTTCAAGACTTCCAAGGACAAGCAGCCCCTCAGGCATGAAGTGACTTACTTGAAACCTGGATTTTTCCAGAAATTCTAATGAACATTCACAGCTGCAGACCGAGTGACGCACAGCATCCATACATCTGGCCGTGTAATGTTCTCAGTGTGCTTAGACTACCACTTCACTTTCCATCTAAACCAAAATACTAATGTCCTAGACTGACAGTAATTTACGGATGCAGTCCGTGTTATCTAATGGTAATACTGGAAATGAGCAATGGCTTGCACTCTGACAGCGTATCTCGAAACTCTCGCATCTTACCTCTCCCAGCGCCCTAGAAAATGTTGAATGTTATCTCGTATTTCTGTGATAATGTTATCTGTAAGAGCAGTTAGTTACAGAGACTTCGGAACACCCTGTGTATGGAAGGCAGGTCATTTTTATTGAACTGCTCCCTAAGCTTTTCCCTAACTATTCCTTGGTCAGATCTCTGATTGAAAATGCCAGTAGGTAACAAAGGGATAAAATTGCTCTTGTATAATCCTACTGTGAGTTTTTAATATAATGTGCTAATACATTGTCCGGTGTTCCAGCAGAATTACAGCACTTCTCAGAGTAGGCCTGGCCAATATCTGATTGATTCTGGCCTGTGGGGATTGGCCCTGTTCACTGTAATTTCCTGTCTTGTTGCTTTCTTTTCTATCAGAGAGGGTTTGGGTTCATGGAAATCAATAGGCTTATACATGCAAAATGTGAGGTTATTTTCTAGCAACTTTCATTTATGTCTGTAAGTTACGGAAAATGCTGTTTTCTCCATGTCTACCTGCCTTTTTTTTTTTTTTT